AAACCCAAAACCCCAAAACCCCAAAACCCCAAAACCCCAAAACCCCTAAAAATCTAGATGTTATTGATTAATTCATTAAAATATAAATGAAAAGTGTAAATTTACACAAACAGCTGAGTAAGCAAAGAATAGTGCTATCCTTGTCTCCAAAATCTGACAGACATTCTTCCCCGAAATCTCAGAACAATCGATTTAAAAAAGATTTATGGTGTGATCGAAAGGTTGTTTCGACTAAACTTGGTAAAAATCAGAAAGTTCCAAATGAGGGTATTACAAAAAGACTTAGAGAGATCATTCTCAAGCTTAGGAAGAATGACAAAATGAAGCAAGGAAGAATTAAAGACAAAAACTCCCAGTTCTACCCCATAAAGAGTGCGGTAAAGGTCATCCCTGATGATCTTGTTGGGATAAAGAGTAAGCATTCCTTGTAATCTGTCTAGCTCTAAGCTCTAGAAATTCCAAAGGCTCCAGTGAATCTCGGCCATGGTTTACTAAGACATCTAAAACTATTAAGGAAGAGAAATAATTTATGAAAGCAGATTGAGAATGAGATAGTTAAATAATGAGTATGACGAGATGCAGAGAAAGGTAAAACAAGAGACTAGGGATAAGCTCGACCAAAAGGTCAAACTTCATCTGCAAAACCCAGATGAATATAAGTAAATTATAATGAGATATCATAGGCTATTTGATGAAAACCACTCCTTCAGCAAGATCAAGATTAGAAGTGTTGACGATATCACAACTGAGTCGATCTGTAAATAAACTTAATTTTGACCTCAGTAATTTTAAGTGTTAACCATCAAGGCATAAAGGACAATTATTTTAAGAAATATTTTGAGATAAATAATATTGGAAACAAAGAAAAGTATAGTGAGAAAAGAGAAATAGGAGGGCTGATAAAGAAGATTCGTGGAAGAAGAGAGACAAAGGTAACACAATATCTGGATATATATAGAAAATTAATATTTCAAAAGCTTTGAAACTTTATTTGTCACCAAAACCAAAAAGATCACGAGCTAGGTTGCTTTCTTTATGCCAAGCATCCAGATCAGTGAAGCCAAAGCTCAACTTCCAGAAACCAAATTCATAAAATCCAAAAAGCAGTGCATATAAATCCTATCATACTACACTCTCAATTAATCTTACCCACGCTATTCAATTATCCAAATGCGATAAGGGGTTTTGGGGTTTTGGGGTTTTGGGGTTTTGGGG